GAAGATTGGATTGGATTGGATTGGATTGGATCCCTGTCCTGTCCTGACCTTGAACTGCGGTACTACCCGCAGCCAAGCTGCGCGGAGCAATTGTGGAATGATTATTGCTTTCATAACTGACCTTTTTGACTATAACCAACCTATTAGTGATGTGAACGTAGCTAGGAAAAAAGCCTACGAGGAACTGGAACTAGCATGTCAACGGTAATTTCATTTTTGTAGGTGGCAATTTTTGTAATAGTGTGAATGCCGATTTACACCTGGTTCCAATGGTCGGTGTCGTCCAAGCCAAGACAGATATGTTGGATATTGTGTACAATTCCGATGTATTGGTGGTTGACATGAGCATAAAAACTCAACAGTTCCTTCTAAATTATCATATTGGCGTTCGGGAACACCTTAAACGTTATGATAACATAGTGCTCGTTCTGTTTTCCCGTGGAAAAGTTACAGAGGAGTTAAATGTGAGTTACAAGTTTATAATGATTTCATGAATAATAGAGTTTTCTTGGTCAGAGGACGAAACTCTTTCCCTATGTGATCACTGATGCAGGCGTAGCGGTGTCTCTAGATGATCGTTATATACAAGCTTCCTTTGAAGAATACGATAATCTCAGGAATCAGGTTTGCTCAAGACTTCCAGCTTTATCAGAAAATCTTGAAAGAACTTTCTCGGAATTGGAAACTCGTAACAGGTTAGTTTTGTTCAACGCCTACAGTTGTGCGTGAATTCTGAGTTTTGTGGTTGGTAAAATCTTCCACCGTTGTGATTGACACTGTCAATACATCCAGTTGCAAAAAAGTACCAGTGACACAAATTATAGTTCAATAATCAAATTTCACAAATTTGTAAGGAACTTACCTTTCTTGCCAATCTTCCCGTGGTGAAATTGCGTCCTCCTCAATCGTTCTGAGCTGTTTGAAAGAGCTGGCCTCAATGTTTTACGCGTCCTGCATAAGATGTCGTTGTGCGACTTACTATTTAAGGGGAATCGCTAACAAGTCACCACAATCATCTCACTCCGGGCATTTGGAGTGACTCATAATATAAGGTCCCACCAAAATTGGGATTATCAAACCAGTGAGCAACAAAATTGTCTACCATCAGAGTTCGGTGTCTGTGGCAGAGTTCAAACTACAAGCTGCAGAGCTTAAATGATGCCAGAGAAATTGATTCACATCGCTAGATTTCCATCAGATCAGAGACGTAATTTGTTGGGACCAATAAATTGATCGGCATGTTTTCATGTACCTTGATGACGTTTATCTGGACATAAAGCAGATGCATGCGACATCAGTGAATTTTCTAGAATACAGTCATCCTAGGTAATTGCTGATATCCAATTCGGTTCGGAGTTCTGTGGACAAAGGTCACAACCTACCGAGCTTCCAGAATTCCTTCGGTGGTAGCCTCACGCGATGGGTCAGGTATAAACCTGCTAGCAGTGCAGTTGATGAAAATTAAGCACGCAAGTCATCTGTGCAACAAAACTTGATGTATTCATGTGATACTCTGTCATGTTGAGGGTGTATGCACAATGACATATAGTGAGATTTGAAAGATCTTAGGGATGTAAAACTTATTTCGGAATATTTTTCAATGGGGCGTGTGAATTAGAATTGCAATATGCACATTTGGTGGAGGGTAAAGCTCGGCACATAATTAGAACGGTTACCTTGATTCCTGTTATTCTTTAGATGTTACAACTGAATCTTTGTATCAGGTATACAGTGGTGGACTATCAATGACCGTCCCCTGGGATGGTGCTACGAACTATCCGCTGAAGTCTTAGGTGGCTCACCCCTCTTGGAGCCCCGAGACTCGAGACAGACGTAACCAATAGTTAGGTATATGCTGAGTGATATGATCGAGGGTATTAAACAGTGCCACTAGTACATCTCAATAGCTTAACAACCTCAGTCTACCATGATTATCTAGTTTTTATTTTGACACGGCTTTCAATATCCCAATTTTCCCTTCAACTGTTCATTTGAATGGGCAACCAAAAACAACAATTAAACCCACCTGTCTATATCCTTTCAATGCTGTTCTTCAGAACGTTGGCTAAAGCAGATGGTTTAATTAAATAGGCTAATCTCCATGGTCAGGAGGATCTGCTTTTGATTCATACAAACTGGCAACTTTACCCCCAAGAATTGGAATGTTGAACTACTTAAGGCCCCTCTAGAATAGGCGTGGTATTGAGTCGATGCATGGTGTATGTGGCTCACGTCCTTATTGAGAGCTGGAATGTAAGTCCCTTTGAGAGTAGTTACCAAGCTCACACAATTGTGTTTTAAGATGGGAGCGAACTGCGTATAACTGCATTTTCCAATCTGGCTCACTGCTGTTGGCTTCGGTCTTTGGTCGAGCGTGTGCACGGTTATCTACGTAGGTTGCATGTTTGGCAGAAAACTGACGATTCCAAATTTCGATTCATGCCTATACTCGCAGTTAGAACACAATGTCAAGTGAACGATTAGTTTCCATAATTCATAATATTGCCGTTACGTTTTATAGGAGAGAGTGAAACCTATTGATTGGGTAATTGTGTTCTAAACAAACGATTATTTGCTGGCAATGCACACTACTGTGGTGGTTATCGTATTGTATTGGCGCGATTTTTGTAAGCATCGGAGCTTACATTCCGTCATGTGACCCTTCGTACCAACCCGCTCATTTACGCATTTCGAATTGCATGCATGTCTTTAGTGATCCGGAGTTTCTGAAACGTTGTCTGTACTTTCGATGACAAAAAACAGCGAAGATGCAACCTTCTGATAGGCTTCTTTATGACACAGTACTGTGCAATTAGCGTTCTGGATGGTAAATCACATAATCACGAGAAAATATTCTTCATTTATGTTAACCGGCAATTTCAGCCCAGGGATTTGAAAAGGCAAAACACAGGACCCCATGAGGATGGGTGTGGTATTAAGCCGAATGAAATTGAGTGTGCCTACTGCCAAATATGGGTAGTGGTGACAGGCGTTAAACCTCGACTCATGGGGCCTAAAGCACACCAGTGACAGCGGTTTTACCATCATCACCACTGCGATCAAAATGAGAGACGCATATTCCAAACATCAAAAGTGCAATTATTTTGTAATTTTCATATAGTGCCTGTAATTTATCTTCGAATTTTCATCTCTGTCACTTAAACAATAAATATCCATTTATTACGTTCTGGTCCTGTTTTTTCACTTATCTATGCTTCCCATATCATGTGACCCGGCTATAATGCTAATGTGTGAATTCACACCACCAAGAAGACCGTATCTTGAACGCAGGAGTGTTAGCTCATGAGATATGTACACTCAGGGAAATTCTTGGCAATTTAGTGTTTTCGGCTGTCCCCTTCGGTTTTTAAGGATGGAGGTTCAGCCTTGGTTTTGGAGTCGACAAAACTCCTGGGCTCAGTGTGGAAGAGGGAAGAGGTTCCAACGGAAAGGTGTGAATCGGTGATCATACTGATTTACAAGGTTCGAACCCCGCCACCCGACTTTGGTGGTACACAGCTCTGCTGTCGTCCGGTTCAACACCACGCCTAACCTACCGGGGCCTTATGCGGTTCGCCATTCCAAGTCCCGGAGCTTAGGTTGCCGGTTAAAATCGGAAAGCTGCTTTCGACTCAGTCGACCGCTCAAAACTCTGGCGCTGTCTCGTTCTAAAGGGTGTGCTCGAGAATATTACAATCGCTGTATACTAATGGCCGAAGCCGAGCTCGGGCTTACGGCGCTTTTTGGCCCGAGTTCACCATGGAAAGTGAGATTCGTCAAGGCTGCGCTCTCTCTCTTTCTCGTTTTGTATTTACCTTAGTTATAGGTCCGATTATGGAAACAACCCTATCCTCATGCGACGATAGCGGTATCGATTTACTTCCAGGTGGCAGACTATCTGATCTGGAGTATGCAGACGAAATTGTGCTGCTAAGTGAAGATCCATGTAAGTTGCAAGCATTTCTGGATAAGTTGAATGCCAGTGTAGCGATGTTCGGTATGCGTTTTGCACCTTCAAAGCGTAAAATGTTACTACAATACTGGGTTTGTCCAGCACCCAGTCACACGCTGACCAGGGAAGTAGTAGAGAAAGTGGATAAGTTTTGTTATCTGGGCAGCTATATCTCACCTGGTGGACGCATCATAGATAAAGTATCAGCCCGCATACAGGAGGTTCGGTTCGCATTTACCAACTTAGGATATCTGTGGCGCTGTCGCGACATCCGGCTGTCTGTGAAGGTTCGAGTATATGCCGTCACAGTTCGACCAGTTCTGCTATACGGCGCAGAAACTTGGTCACTAAGGGAACAGGATAAAGATAGATTATCGATGTTTCAACATCGCTGTCTACGCAGCATTGCACGAATGTGGTGGGGTAGCCGATCGAGCAATGCTGAGGTTAAGCGCGGAATTTTAGGTGATCGCGGTCGACCTCCATAGATTACGTTGGTTGGGGCGTGTTACGCATGTCGCCAGTTNCAGCGAGCAATGTTTGCCGAGACAGGTATCGGTTGGAAAAGGTTAAGGGCGATCAAACAAAGACCTGGCATGAGCGTATGAAAACCCTGACCCGGGAACTAGGTCATGTAGGTCCTGTTAGACTCCCTGGCTGGACCTCGGGATGATGGTCACCGATGGCTGAGACACAGCGACATGGCTGGGTGTTACAAACAATGGCGCTCGTGCATCCACTTATTGTTCTGCTAACACCATTCTTTATGAATTCCTCATCTTCCGCTGGAATTTGCTTCGTCATTCCAATCTTCATTCTGCTTATTCATCCAAATGGGTAGCCAAAAGACAGCAACCAAAATCGGCGCACGAAAGTCCATGGTTAATGGCTGTACAAACTGAACTGAGTGTTTTCGGTCTTGGGTATTAAGGCCATGGTGACAGGAAGTATAACCCTAAGAAGTACATCTTTTATATCACTGTCTCCCGCTTATCGTTTTGCTTATCGACAATAATAATCTATGTTGGGTGAGCAGTGTCCCCAGTATCAATCGACTATTTTAACTTTAACTGGCTCTTCTAGCCTTTATATATCCAAGTGCAACCCGCTGGGTAGTAGGGTTGTGCCGGACAACCCGGTGGCCGTTGGTTTAACTCAGTCGCCTTTGCAAAGCCTTACAGAGTAGATGGAACGAGATAAGGAGCGACGGTTTTACTAGTGGTTCACACTAACCACGTCAAAATACTGCTGTCAGAATTGTGTTGTTTCATAGAGCGAACGCTTACCAAGGGAAAATCCTATTCGCTCTTAATGACTTCTGCTATTGGTCTTCAACCTCTCTTTCGGTGACAGGAAGTCCGGCTTATTCACGGTATGCCACTGATTAGGTGGCTGTTCCTATATCTACGGTCTGGGTACGCGCCAAGTGCACCATGCAACGCTCATGCTAATGAATTCTTCTGTTGTTCCCCACTACATGTCCCGGGGCTCTCGTGAGTGAACAGTTGGTCATCGTGGTTATCGAGTTCACCCCTTCTGCTGTTCATTACACAGTGATGGTGGTGCAGTGGTTTAGTCGCTGTCACCGGCGTGCTTTGGACCCTGTGGTCTTAGGTTCGAGCCTCGCCACAGCCACCCAACTTTGGTGGCAGACAGCTTTGCTGTCTCCCAGTTCTATACCACACATGAGCTAGCGGAGCTTTATGTGGTTCGCCACTCCAAGCCCATGGCTTAGGTTGCTGG